CCTTTCCCCTACCCCTAGCCTTACATGCTATGAGCTCCCAGTTTTTCCTCTATTTTTAAAATCCTAGTGCCCAGCATATGGCTTAACATATAGTAAACACTCAATATATGTTTGTTGAACCTAATGAATAAACTTTATGTCTTAATATTTCTTTACATGTTAAATGAAGTAGTTGGGCAACATTGGTAGTTTTCAAATGTTTAAATGTGGAAGAACCAGTTTTCTCAGTTAAAAATTTAAGGGAAGGACCAATACATTATGGAGAAAAAGCAGAAAGTGCTCTATTTGGAGAAACAATGGGATTCTAGAAACCTGTCCACTTGACCTCTCCTCTTCAAACAGAGCACTAGGAGGTGGAGAAATACAGTGAAAACAAACTGCCCTAGAATCACGGTTGCTCATTTCCCTTGCAGCTATAAAAATGTAATTCTGTGAAAGTTATTTTTTCAAGGAGTAACATTTTTTTATGTAAACATTTTTTGGTGGAATTTTTCCTAAAATGTAAAAATACTGACCTGCCTCCCTAAAAAACAGAATGCAGCACTAATGTAACTGAATCTTTCCTTCATGACTCAGGCTCTCATTAGGAACAGTCACTGTTTCACTCGGCTGAATTCACAGAGGTGTTGTTATGACGTGTTTATTTTCCTGTATCTCCCCTGTCTGTCAGCTGCCATTTCTTCTGCTGTCATTTTTTCTGACCTAATAGCTCCCTTAGCTAATCTCCTTTCCTCAAAGCCCCTGTGCCCTAAATTTTCTGTGAGCTAAAACAATAAAAAATAAAGTTTGTTTAGAAGAGTATGTTCATACACACAAAAAAATGAGTAGGATTTGAGAAAGCTGATGGCCATTGTGTTGGCACTATGTGAAGGTCGTGAAGGTTATTTTAGGTATTTAAAGGCTTAGGGCTATTTCCTGGTTTCTATGTCCTCACCTTTGGGGATTGCTAAAGTCATGCTTTTCCATATATGTTTTCCAGAAAAACTAACCTTGGTACAATCTGGGAATGACTGAATAAATGTACCTTAAATGATTTAAAGCATTTAAACCATTTTTTTACAAAGCAAACAGTAAACTATTGAGCATGAACCCTTAATGTATGTTAGTTTATAAATTATACACAAGTACTTTTGTATTAACATGTTATATACGTTAAAAAACATACTCAAAAATAGAAATTATAAGTAACATAAAAACAAATATAAATGCTCATTCTAATATTTTCTTCTCACATTCCAGAGAATTGTCTTGTGCACCCTGAGATGCACGCACAATAACACATCCCACTTGTAGACCTCTGGTTTAGATAACTATGTAAGGATATTAACTTTGATTTTAGCTAGGCAGATAAGCCTCTGCCCAAGTGAAACCTAATTTAGCTGCTTTTCAAAACATCAAACCAAAACATTTTTTTATCTTCAGAACCTAACTTGTGGCCTAGCATATAGTTGGTGCACAATAAATGTTTGATGAATGTTGAATGAATGAATGATGAAGATTAAGTAGTCCATAGGGATGCTTTATAAACTCTTTTAATTCATTTATTTTATTTGCTTAGCTCATGTCAGACCTCTTTCATAATGTGTTCACATACTATTATATCATCATTAGTGTGTACATCACTAGGCAGGATTGATTGTAAGGCACATTGGGGTTTCACTGGCAGAGGGCTTTGAGCCAAGGATAAGGCATTTAATTGCAATGGAAGGCTGGTCCCCAGGGAAGGTTTCCACCCTTAATCTACTATAGATTACTATAGTATGAGACATAGCAAAATCTGGTTTAGTGAAGACCATAATGTGATACCTAGGGGCATCTGGGATGGTGGGTGGGGCACTGGCAGTAGTAGTAACTAAATAATAGTGAATCTCAAAGCCAGGCAGATGATAGTATATGATATTGGGAAGGACATGCAGAAAGGGAGAGGGGCCAGTAAGGACACATTTGGATTGAGTTTCAGGGCATAGCCATGTCTAGGCCTTCTGTTCTTACACTACACACTCAGCTTGGGCACTCATGACCTCCTAGACAGTAAAGTACCATCTATGTGCTTGTATTCCAGACACCTATCCAGCAGCATATTGGATGGTTCCAATTAGCTGTCTCACAGGTCCCTCAGACAGTACATCACCTACATAATTAACTCAGCAGCTTTCCCCACACCTGTTTCTCCTGAAGGTTTCTACTTCTGTAGGTGGTATTACCACCATCCACCTAGATGCAGGGACCTGGAAGTCACCCTTGATTCCTTGAGCTCCCTCATGCTTTACCTCTGTCTATGGGGCTCCATTCCCACCGCCAGCATCACCCTTTGCCTCCTAATTGGATTCCCTAGCTCCAGTCAGTGCCTATAATCATTTTAGTCATTATACCAGAGTAGCTTTTATAAATAGAAATTTGGAAAATATATCCTCCTTGTGAAAAGTTGATAAGACTCCTGCTCTTCTCTTCGGCTTCATCCTCCATCACTCTCCCCCTCGCATTTAGTTATCCTCACGTATTGAGCTTCTTTCAGTTCTCCAGTGATGCTAGGCTGCCCTCAAACCTCTGTGCCTCCATCCACACTGCTACTTCTGCCTGGAGCAATCTTTTCTCCTCTTTTCACTTTCTCCTTCTGCTCTCAGCAGAGACATAACTTTCTACAGAAACTTTTCCCTGATTCCTAGGCCAGACTACATCTCCCTGCTAGCTAGTATCATAGCATTTCAGAACTTCCATTGCCATCCCACTCTGCGACTCTTCTTGTAAGTGTTTGTATGTCCATACTTCCTTCTAGATTGTGAGCTCCCTGAGGGCAATGGCCACATTTATCATCTTTACTGCTATGTCCCAAGCACCCACGACAGTGCCCTCTAGCTCCATACATATTTGTTGAATAAAAGAATGAGAGGATGAGGGCACTGGAGTGCTCATCAGGAACCAAGCCTAAGGGATTAGTCAGACAGACTAAACAAATACAGCAAGTGATGGGGTAAATGGGCAGCTTGGGGAACACTAAGGAGCCCATGTTTTTTTAAATTCCTGGTGTATCTGTGGACTGGTATCTTATGGACTTCTAGGTCCTCCTAGAGGGAAGACCTGAGTTTACCTAAAGAAGCAGGATTGCAGTCAGCCAGACGTGAGCTCTAAATCCTAGCGGTGTAATCCTGGCAAGTTACTGACAGAGCTGATGGCAGAACTGATTGAGATAATTTGTGTAAAGGGCATGGCATGGTTTACCTGGCATTTTGATGCGGCCCTTGTAATACAGTCATTATACCATGTTCAACATTACCCACCAAAATGTTTCTGCTTTATAATAATAATAATAGTTAATATTTTTGAGCACCTTTCCTCATATATGACATTCTACCAAATACTATAGGAGACTTATCTTATTTAATCCTCATGAGACCCTATGAATCTTCTCTTATTCTCACTTTGAGGCAACCAAGGCACAGAGAGATTGACTAACTAGCCCAAAGTCACACAGCTGAGCAAGATATAGCATCTGAGTATCTTGATTCTACCACACAGCCTTTCATTTGTTCTTAATATTTTTATTTGAATTTTATTTCTTCCCCATTGAAGAGTAAGATGTTTAAATTTAATTCAAGGAGTATCTATTGAATCACCTACCATGTGTGCAACATTAAGTACTGTGTGAAATTAAATTAACAAGTATTTATCACTGACTATGACTTTCTAGAAGAGTGCTGCAACTCCTTGATATTCATGGACTTTAACATCTCAGCGAAGGGATCAAAAACAAAAAAAGAAAAAAGAAAAAACAAGGCAAGGAAATATATAAGAAAGGGATGAAACAGAACATACCAGAGCAACTACCTTCTATCCCACTCATTTGATTGCAGATTATGCTACAGTAGACAGCGATGCTTCCTAAATGTTTATTCTCTAATGGTAATGCAGTCACCCTCAGAACTGACCTGCAACCATCAAGTGGATTCCAAATAGTCTAGGCCCCTAGATAAGTTTTCAGGAGTTAAAGCACTTTTATACACACGGTTTCTGAAATCTCTAAATTACAAAAAAAAGCATTTGTTAGTCATAGGTCACTGGGCAAAACGTCATTCGTCTTTTGGAGAGTATGGTCTGAATAACTGTCATCAAAAACTTCAAAGGCTATGTTTTTCAGGTTTAATTGAAAGTAAGTTTGGTGGCATCGACTCTAAAGGTGAGAAATGTGTCTTTTCAATCAATTGGAATCAATTCCAATTGGATTTTTGAAGAAATGAAATTCCTGGGATATTATTAGTGATACACCTAGAAAGAGGATGTATCCAATGTACATTGTCTTCAGTTTTGGTAACATTACTGTGATTCCTCTCTTTTCCTAGAGAGTCAAAGAATGAGTTTGTTCTACTTTCTACAAATGAATTCTGCATTTCACTCACAACGAAATAAAGAGCAAAAGTTATCTGAATGTATTATTAAAGTACTTTATATCTGCAAATTACTTTATACTTGATATTCTTGGCTCATCAGATTAAGCTACAATCAGAGCATCTCCTTTATAAATGGAGAGTTGATCAGCGTTTTACTTCCGGCCACAAAGTTTCTCACAGCAGAGGCCATCTTTCCTGGCATTCAGCCTGCGATAGGCCCGGCTTGGCGCCCTGGGCCAGGCCATTCTCAAGGGTGTCAAACTTGCCTGCCTGGATGCCTCCAGTGTTTTCGTGCAACTGCAGCTGGTTTTACCAGACCCAGGATCCTGTTTGACCAAAATAAACGAAGAACTGAAAAACAGAATAAAGGTAACTTTAGATTCAGAGATTAAGAGATAGGGGTCAAGGTTTCAAAACCACACCTAAAATTTGATATTTTTGTATTTTTTCCTTTTGCATTGTCCACCCTAAAAGTTTCTACTTCTCTCTGGGCATTCCCAGAATTTCAGCTGGTCTGGGGGAGGACTGGGACGAGGAGTTGGGAGAGAGGGGATGGAGTGACTCTGCTCAAGGGAACTGTTGGCCAGCAGGGGACCAGCCAACTCCCTCCTTTCCCAGCTCCGGAGGCACCCCTCCGCGCTGGGCCGTGCCGTCGGGCTTTGGCCTCCTGACCCAGACAGCGCGGGGCGTGAGGGAGCTCGCGGTAGAGCCCGGGTCGCCGCCCCCAGCCTCGGCCGCCCGCCAAGAGTTCGAGGCCTCCTGATCCGGATATGATGAAAAGGCGCAACAGAGGGAGAAGTGTTTCAGGAGTGTAGGAGTGGCGGAGGGGGCAAGAGAGGCAGAGGGAGCAAGTCCCCCTTGGAGGAGAACCGGCCGGACTGAGCTGGCTGGAAAGAGGGGGCGGAGAGCGCGCAGTCGGAGGAGCGGCCGCTGCCGCAGTTGCCGCCACTGCGGTGTCTGGCTGAGCCCGAGGGAGGCGGGAGGGACGCACAGGGGCGGCCGCCACCGTCAGGCCACCGGGGCGCGATGCGACTGCTGCCGGGGCCTCGCTAACTTTCCGGGGCGGAAGAGGAGGAGGAAGGGGCTTTGAGCGAGTCGGGGGGGATGCCGAGGTAGGTGGTGGTCTCCCCGGCTGGGAGGAGGAGGCGTCTGATCCCCTCCCCCGAGCTTCTCCCAAATCTAATCTCCCTTCTCCGCCCCCTCCCTCTTCAGTGGCCCCCTCCGACCCCTGGGACTCGGCTGCTGTCAACTTGCTGGGTAACAGTTTTCCTCCCTGGTTTCAAATCAAAACTTCCCCGGGGTGGGGTTTGGGGGAGGGAAGCGGAGGGGGAGGGAATGTCCCGCAGGGGTGGCGTGCTCTTCTCTGAAAACACGTTTTTTTTTCCGCCAGAAGCAGTCAGTTCCCTGCACCCAACACCTAACAGCCGTTCCTGCGTCCGCCCCGCAGGGCGGCGAGCTAGGCGGCAGCGCGGTGGAACGGCCCATGTCCGGCGCCGGCGAAGCCCTGGCTCCCGGGCCCGCGGGGCCGCAGCGCGCGGCCGAGGCGGGCGGCGGCCGGCTGGGCACCCCGGTCCAGGGTGAGTGCGCGCTTGCAAGTTGCAAGCTTCTTTGTCATTGTTGCATTTTAGAAGTTGTTCACACATTTACTGATTGGGGTAGGGGTGGGGAGGTTGGTGCGGTGTGGACAGATAGCTTGTAGTTGTGAACTTTTGCATGATTAGCTTTACTCAAGCAAGTTCTCCAGGATTCCTGCCCTAGATCAACAACCGGATAAGAGGGCGGGATCCGCTGGTCCCTCCACTCCCCCTTCCCTTGGCTGCGGAGAAACAGGATGACAGGATTGCTTCTTTCTTAAGTATATGCATTTCGGGGCCTAAAACTCCAATATGCGGGATCTAAGGCCCTTCTCCCCGACGTCTCTTCAGTTCTTGTGTCTTCATCAGATCCAGGACTGCCGCTGCTCTCTGAACAAGCCTGCACTCTCCGTTCATCTTTCTGTTTGTTGTGGGCTACGCTGATAATCCATAATCTAGGTTTCTGTGACGAGTTGCTTTGGAATGGCTGATGCATTCGTTTTCAATAACTGTTTTGTTTTGAAATAAACATGCCTTAAAAGAAACACTTTCCAATAATGAATTAGCTCCTTTGTGTTCTTCCGAAGTGTAAACACATACAGCCTGTGAAGAAAATACTCTTGTTTTTGGGAAACTTCCATAACAAGGTTATAAACAAGTCAGACCATGTCTTTCTTCTCTTGAAGGTAACATACTTCAGGTTTTCATTGGTGACAGAGCAAGAGCCTTACTCCTCTGATGCATTTTCCTCTAGGGGCATTCTGATTTAGAGCTCTGACACTGATCTAAACGAAATAATTTTCCTGGGCTCAAAAACCTACTTTATACTCTTGATTTTAAGCATATCTGATAGCTTTTTTTTCCCCTTTAACAATGGTGTAGTGAGCTTCTTGAGATTCTCTTTCTTTAAGGCAGCAGAAAGTGGAAAAGAAGAAGTTAATGTTGAACCCAAAATAGGTAAAAGCAGAAAATATCCATGGCTAAATTAAAATGTTTTAGCATTCAGGGCTGTTAAATTGAATTATGTATATCATTGTTTTTTGCTTCTAAACAATGAGTCATTTTTTCAAACGGAGAAAATCAGAAAATCAGAACTAGAATGATAAACATATGTTTCCCAGAAGCAGCCCATGTTCTGCACACTATTGACAACACAGTCGTTTTCCTGTAGTTAGGCATGCCCTCAGTAGTCATATCGACTCATTGATGGGCTTTTTATGGTCACACTTGAGCTAATCACTATGTTAAACAATGCTTATGTCAAAAATCACGTCAAACGTACTAGAACAACAACTGATTTGGAAATAGTTGATGTCTACAATTTCCAATTTTAATAATATGCATTTTTGAAGTCAGCTAGGAGAACTTGCAGTGGTACTTAATGCACCTGTGCAGACGCAATGCTGTAAGGTATCACATGATCTGATTTTAAGAAGCGGGCAGGGCCGGCCCCGTGGCTTAGTGGTTAAGTGTGTGCTCCGCTACTGGCGGCCTGGGTTCGGATCTTGGCGTGCACCGACACACTGCTTCTCCCGCCATGCTGAGGCCGCGTCCCACATACAGCAACTAGAAGGATATGCAGCTATGACATACAACTATCTACTGGGGCTTTAGGGGAAAAAAAAAAAAAAAAAAAGCAGGCGTCTAGGATGGTCTGAAGTGCAATGTTGACTGCATACAACACACACATTATCAGTGTGGAAACTCTTGGGTTACATTTCACCTGAAAATGGGCTTAGCCTTAGCAACATGGTTACCTATTGCTTTTTTATTAGTTTAACTGCGACTCACAATATCCTTTAAATAGACATCAATTTAATTGTAAGTGTAATATAAAGTTGATTTCTTAAAAAAGAAAATCCACTGAATCTCGTTAAAATATTGTGTCTCAAACAAGCAGGGTTTCATAAGGTATATTGAAATAAAAAAACCTTTGGAGCAAGTGGGTAGGGAAAAAGCTTCAAGAGGTAGCCTCTCATGGTTTGGTTGGTTTTATTGGTAAAGACAGTGAAGAAGATTTGCAGACTGTTCTGCTCTTAAGCTCTTCCTTGAGTTCTTTTATCCTTTTCCTTCTGTCCTTGGATTCTTTATTATCTTTTCAGAAGAATAGTTTAATAGTTCTCTGGTTAGATGTGGCTGCTTAGTTAATTGAAACCTAATTTTAAAATTTTATATATTAAAATTGGTGAGAAAAATGGAATATTTTATGAAAGTTAACAGAAAATACCTTTTTATGAAGAGGAAGGATAAGGTCAAGTCCTCCCCTGCAAAGTTAAATATATATATATATATATATATATATATGCATGTACATAAAGACATATGATATAACCTATACATATATTACTGTGTTGTAAAGAGCTATCTATACTGCTAACCAAAGGCGTAGAATGTTAAAGTTGAAAGTAATATTAGGGTGTTTCTAGTCTGAGCTCCCCATTAAATCTAGAATTCCTTTCTACATTCTTTTAGGTGGTTAGTTAGAAACCTACATTGTAGTGCATTCTGCTTACCAGCATTCAGGGTTATGAAGATTTTCCTTATTGAGAGCGTAGCTCTGTTTTTTTTAAAACTTCTACCCTTTTGCTGTGAGTCTGCAAGCAAAATTCTGTTGCTTTAAAAGCATAAAAAAATCTCTTCTGTGTATTTTGAAAGTTGTTACAGAGCAAGAACATAAGCTCATATGCTCCGGGCTATAAGAGTGAACCAGGATGGGTGTCAGAAGATGAGGAACAGCGGGGACTGTGGGCCACTGGAGAGCTCCTGGGCCAGGAGGCAGTACTTCTCAGCTCCAGCTCATTGTTGCCATTTGGCCTAATATCTTCCAATATTTCAAGAGATACTGGAAATAAGGATTTTTTGTATCATCTCTCCCTTTTTAAAAGTTGGCAACTAATTAAATACAATTTTTGTCCAGGCCAAACAAAACAACCACACCTGCAGGCTGGAAATGGCCTCTAAGCAGCTGATTTGTGATCTCTGTTATGGAAAATAAAAAGTAAACATGCGATTTAAAACTATTTCCCTATTTATGACTAACTTCTGAAAGATTGATTTGATTCGCCTTCTCACGCAAAGTACCTGTATAAATGTCTTGATAAGTGAAGGACCATTTGGGCCAAACATATTTTTGTTTGGAGAGAGAATGGAGCTTGCATACGTGGTTCATCTAATTGTGATTTTTTAATTTTTTGGATTAAGCATCTTAAAATTCATTGTGTTGTCAACACTGCAGATGTAGGTATTTGCTTTTTTGTTTAATGGTTACTAGAATCCATGTAGTTGCAAGAGCCTTTTAATTAAGCGCTTCATTTATAGATTTGTGGCTTGTAACTAGAAGGATCTTTAGAAATAATTTAGTCCAACTGGCTCACTTTTTAGAAAGGACATTCAAAGAATTTAAGTGACTTGCCCAAGGTCTCATACAGAGTCGGTAGAAATCAGGGTGGAAGCACAAATTGTAAAATATATTATATGTCATTGTGATAAATGTGGTTGAAATGGAGAATCAATACAACTTTTTCCTACGGGTGGATGAATTGAAGATAATAGGCTTTGGATACTGTGAATCACTTGAACCTGTTCCCATCCCTGCATCATCCCCTCCCCCCATTGCATTTGCCAAGACTTAGACTGTTGGACTGTAAGTGCTGGAATATACTTTAATGTGATAATGTGTGATTTAACGCACTCCTCTCTGGGGAGAGTCCTCTGAGACTATTAGGCGGACTTTTCATAGCAGGATGCAAAATGCCAGTGAAGTTAATTAAAAATAATTTAAAATAGAAGCTAGGGAGAACATCTTCAAGTTGAAATTACATAAGAAGAGCTTTGACTTAGAAGCTTAGCTGAGTTGTCAGCAGTTTATAGTGGCTAATCAGATTTCCTTTACAGGAAGCCTGTTTATTTCAGTTTATACAATGTATGCTTATAATATCCGTATTCTTTTACTTTTAGCATATGGTTTTATCCTTTTGATTAAGGATGGCATTTCTCGACGTATGTCATCTTTGGATGGCTGCTAACTCTGGTTCTCAATCAGGGACGATTGCGCCCTCCAGGAGGTACTTGGCCATGTCTGGAGGTGTGTTTGGTGGTCATAACGGGGAGTGGGGTGGGTGCTCCTGGCATCCAGTGGGTAGAAGCTACCCTCTAGGGTAATGCTAAACATCTTACAGTGCGCAGGACAGGACAGCCCCTCACAACGAAGAGTTATCTGGCCCCAAATGTCAATTGTTTTAAGATCTATCCAAATCTTTCAAGGCAACTGGCATTTTGGCTCCACTCCAGACTTTCAGATTCAGAGTCTCAAGACTCAAGAATCTGCATTTTTAATAAGCTCCTGGTGCTCTTTATCTCTAGTTGAGAATTCTTGTTTTAGAGGCTTTTATCTGTGGAAAGATATGTTACATTGATAGATTTTTAAAAACAACGTTTTTTTTTTTTTTAGTAGGAAGCTTTTAAAAAGTCCCTTTTTCAAGTTCCAAACGTGAAGTCATATCACTCCGTGCATCCTCTCTCTCAGTGCTCTCCAACATTTTTATCACATATCCTCGTTTGACAAAAATAGACCTGAGTATTCATTCGCAAAAAATTTCTTTTCAAAATGTTATGTACTGTAATCTAAATACATTGTGAAGCTTAGAAAAGAAATACGTAAATAAAAAATTTAAAGGATGAGATAAAAATAAGTAAACAGATATTTTAGTACTTTCTTCCAGCACCTCAGTAGGTATTCTTGTTCTGCTGCCCTACATTGCTCTTTGGAGATCCCAGGGTTATGGATTAATAAGGAAAGAAGTCCATAATTTGCACATGAGTTGCGTTCATTTATAAGTTGGATTTTTGGAACTTGGATTATCCTTTCTCCTGGAAACAGAGTGATAAATTATATTTAGTTCTATAATAAATCTCACTAGATTGTTGGAATTAAACTTTATTAAATTTCATATATTTACAATGATAAATTATAGAGAACATACTATTATAATGCCGGCAACCAA